ACAACTGCAAAACATCAACTGCATTACTCATTTTACTATATACATCAACCAAAATCTTTAAAATATATTTATTAAATTAACCATTTACTAATTGAAAACAATAGATATGTATATAGATATAAAAAAAAGAACATATAGCTTTTATTATCAACTATGAAGAATGTATGAAGCTTCATTCCACTATTATTAGCAGGATAGAACACAAATTTTGAAGTGCAACACACATATTCCTGTTATTTTTATTGCAAATAAGGATATCACAAACAACCGGCTAAATATCATCATGCCCTACACTTTTCTGAATTTATCTTCGTAAGTTTAGTAAATAAAACGTAATATTGAAATTAATGCTCGATGAGAATTATCCACATATTATCTTAAAAAATACAAATAAGGGTTTATACTGACAAAAATTTATTTTACCTCAGGATAAAAAGACAGTAGCACTTGCAATAATTTATCGAATCAATTCATCAAATTTACTTTGTTACAATAATTAGTAAAGTCATGACATGTAAAGGTCGTGTTCAAATGATAATCTGTATCATAACCATTTATGAAATCGCTCGCAGAATGTTATTAATTACAACTAGCAGAAATTTGTGCTATAAAATATAAAGAGCAAATAACAATATCTGTTAAACAAATTTTTGGCAAGCAGTGTTTTACAGATAGAACACTTCAAGTAGTAGTAGCTGAAACCAAATATCTAGGAAATGAGCAAATGGTAAGTTGATTTAAATTTTATCTAACACTCATATTGTAATTGTAAGGTTTCACTTATCGCTGAGACATTTATCACATATGTGGCTTGTGGGATCAGGATAAAATGCAAAACATCCATAATCGTATATGCAAACCAAAAAGTCAGTGTGAAAAAATTGAGAAGCTGACTCAAAACCAAGAGATTTTACACGAGTTGCTCAAGCTTCGTTCGACTTAGAACAATTCCTTACACAATTATGACTAAAGTTAACACGAAATGCAAGTCTACTTAACAAAAAGTATGTCACGACAGTTTAAGTTTGAGTCAACAACACACAATTATATCCTATTGAATATTTTGAAAACAACTCAATAGTTCATCAATAACAGGTTTAAAGGGTATTGTAGAAAGGAGATGGGAAGCATAATTCAAGTGTTAAAAGACTTAATATACACAGATTAGTCTCAATATACATAGGCTAAAACTCAAATGATGTTGCAACAAAAACATAAATTTCACATCTAAAATTTTTAGTTTATAACTCACAGGAAGTATCATAAGATAGAAGACCTTCATTATGCTCGAAACACAAATGGTTGCACTTCCATTACACTACTTCCAAAGAAGTTCAAGTTTTAAAACCTTTAAAAAAATTAGTTAACAAATAATAAGAAGATTAATACACATTTACAACTACTAGCCTTGACAGCAGATAATGCTAGTAAGTATTAAAAAAATTTAGAAGCTCAATTTTTTCTAACTTGTAAGTCTGAATTACTGCATTTGAAAGAACAGGATAGAAAAATGTTTGTTAGCACTAAATCAAAATCGTCATTTTTATATTGTTTTAGCGCCAGTATTAGTATACAATCTCCACATGATGTCGTAAATCAATAGGAATCTCTAAGTAAATTATGCTTTAAGAATATGTTGAGTAATTTTCTTGATGAACAGAAATCTACTTCAAAAAGAGATTTAACATTTATGTTCAGTATCTGTACACGTATAACAGGATGGATGGCTAGATAAACTAACCTTCAGTATTATACTGAACAGAAGAGATTGAGTATACAGTGAGAAGCGACTGGAAAGAAGGGTCAGAAATCGTCTATTTAATGAGGAGTTTGAGTTTTTCAATCTCAATATATATTTATTGAAGGTGTATGTGATGTTTATTTTATATGCTACTAGATATAAGTTGTAATTAAAAGGGTAGAATTAAGTTTTAAAGGTTGAAAATTTCATGATGCACCATCTACCATCTGCAAGCGTTGTTATAATTTTATACTTGTTAATAAGTGCTCTAAGTTCCACTGATTAATATATGTGATCATATCTAGATCTAAACTATATTATTCTTTGCTTGAAATAGATGTTGCAATTCATCTCGAGCTAGATCTTTAATTTCGCCGTAGAAATAGACTGATAGTTTTCATTACAAGTATTGGTGCACTGCATACGGTCTAACAAGATATTTTCTCTTCATACCAAATTTATTATAAAATAGGGTAGCATAATGGCAAGATGAAAGCACTGCTAGAATTCAAACACTGTGCAGGTTTCAACACACAGATAAAAATACCTAACATCACTGAACCTATATTGTCAGGATATCATTGACAGGAGATTGAAAGCGAACCACAAGAATTGCAATATCGATGATAAAAATTGGAAACAGCACATATTAACAACTAGGAGAGGAGGTTAAGGATTAATTTTAGAAAAGCTTAAAATGCAACTATTATTATTTTATAAATATCAACTCTCTAATTTATTATCCTCCACTAACAATAAGCATTTATATGTAATAAAGTGGATAAGTGCTTATATCAAGGAAGTTAAAAGTATTTCAATCGATGAACAGCCACTTCCATTTAGGCATCAGTATATACAAATAACATCGTTTCAATCTTCCTTTCAAGTAGTACATCTTAATGGCTGCGTTGTTTTACCTTATCCTAAGAGTTTTCCTCACACCCCCATCCATATTTAGATCTCTGGCATTTGCGGTCTGCCATAGATAACTTCTCATATATCTGGTCATTAAGAGTGAAGTAATATCTGTGAGTTTAAGTTCTCCATCAAAAGTGTAGAAAATTTTTATAGAATTAAAATTACAAAGAGAGGTATACACAGCGAAATGCATTACCTACAAGAATTGCTGCAGTTGCACCTTAAGACAGTATCAAGCGATAGTTGTTAAAAATGACAAAGGATTGTTGAACATAATTTACTGTTAATAATTAATGTAACACAATTTATAATGTAACGCCTAAATAGAGCAAAGTTTTTCAATCTTTGTTACAAGACAAGTTTTGTTCTATAGGTGTTTAAAAATTAACTAAAAAAAAAAAAAATAAATATCTCTTGCAGCTACGTGAGAGATGATATTACTTTATAAGTTTATATGATTATATGTTCCTTAAAAATGAATTAAATAGCCTTGAAATTTGATAATTAGCTTGTACAATTTAATAAATAGATATGTTAAGAAAGGTACAGGCCAGAGACTATTTAACTCGCTATTCACAAAAAAATTTTTATATTCCTTCAATTGTTTTGCAGACCGCTACTAAAAAAGAGGTA